AAAATATAATAAAAGTTTTTTGTTTCAAATAATATAAAATTTATTATTGTTTTATAACATAAATAGCATATATTTATCAAAAAATTTATAAAAATACTATTTACAGCTGTGAATTATATTAATTTTAAATTGAATCTTATAGAAAACTCTACTCCTGTAGACAAAATATGATTTGTAAAATTCATTACACTTTTTAAATTTATATAAATTAGAAAATAAATATTAAAAATAAATATTAAAAGAAATATATATAAAATTTTTAGAAATTTAGAAATATATACTACCAAATAATAATAGGTTACCTGTGGCACATTTTTCAAAAGGAAGCTGGAGAAAACTTGAGAACCCCTGCATGAAGATCAAAGTTCCATAAGTAACCAAAAACAATGACGAGGCAAAGAGACATGTGTACCGCATCAAAGGTGTCATTATAAACCCTGGATGAACAGCGTTGGCTGTGATGTCAGCCTAATCAGTGAAAGAGAAAGCATTGACAAAAGAGAAAGGTGGGAGAGATTTCAAAGCATTAGACAAATACCTTGAATCTCATTGCCAGTTCTTTGGCATGGAAGATGTTCGCGAGCTTGGATTGACTGTATGCTCTAGTGTCGGAGTACCTTTTGGAAGAGAAAAGGAAGAATGTAAGCTCATGAGAAAAGAGCTGTTTGGTGTACCAAATACGAGATTCCCAAGTGCCTTGACAGTTTCACCAGCTGCTTGAGCAGCCATTGACAATCTGTCCTTTCCACCTTCTATTGCAACCTCAAGCTCGATCATAGTGTCGCAAAGAGAAACAGCAGCATTGTGTCAGGAATCCCCCAATTCTTGCCACATTCCTGACTCTCGCTGGATTTCTGACCTACAGACCACATTCCTGATTCTCGAGACACTTCCCTATTCCTGACTCTCTGATTTCCTGTACGATTCCTGAGTCTCAAGCCACATTCCGGATATTGATGTAGCGCCTCCTTGACCTCAGCTATATTTAGGCCGTCCTCGATCCGAGAGTGGTGGAGCTTCATCGACCTATAGTATATATAGGTTAGCCTTGTTCCATTTCTCCACAATCTGAATCAATGCCAGTCTAAGGCCTCTTTTTTGTTTCCACTAGCTTTTCTCTTTGTCTTTTGCATTTTCCAATCTTGATCTTGTTGGGGGTCTTAACAGTTTGATTCAGATTGTGCTTTTTGCTTTTGCTTTAGCTCGTTTTGATTGTTTGATTGCCTTTGTCTTTTTTCCCTTTTTTTTTCTTTCCTCTTGCCAATGGAGTCTCCAAGCCATCCTGATTTCTTTGCTGAAGTCCTTGCAAAAATCTAGTTTGAGAATACCAAGCTGAAGGCGACCCTTCTTTGCATGCAGTAGGAGCTTGCTTCACTTTCGGCTCAAGGATCCAGCAAAGTTCCTGAACCAAAGGTGAGTTTCCAGGTGAAATTTTCAAGCAAGCGTTCGGAGCTTCGCGGATTTCTGAACCAAATGGAGCTGATCTTTGCACTTCAACATCGGCGGTACCCCACTCCCGAGTCTCAAATCGGCACGATTGGGACGTTGCTCGAAGGTGCAGCTTTGTCATGGTTTTCTCCTCTTCTGGAGAAGAGCATGAAAGGGGTCGTGGTTCCGGAGCTGATGGATCCTCAATTGTTCAAAGAGAAGCTCGAAGCATGTTTTGGCGAGACGGATCGGGTTCAGGCTGCTACCACAAAGATGAGACGTCTCTCTCAGGGGTCTCGTCCTGCCTCGATGTACGTTGCAGAGTTCCAACTCCTTGCCTTGGACACTCAGTGGGATGAGCAGGCTCTGATTGACCAATTTCATTTTGGCCTCAACAACAGTGTCAAGGATTTGTTGCTCACTATGGAGGATCCCAAGGACCTGTCGGACTCCATCAACAAAGCTGTTCAATGTGACAATCGTCTCTTTGAACGTCATCAGAAAAGTCGCCGTGCCGCTGTTTTTCCGTCCCAGACTCAGGAATCCTAGCTTGAGTCTTCGGGGCATACTCCTGAACCTACTGCTCCGGTCCCGATGGATATTTCTGGTACTCCCCGACTCATTAGAGGGAAGTTGAGTCCTGCTGAGAAGCAACGTCGAATATCTCATAATCTTTGCCTCTACTGTGCTGATCCTAATCATAAAGCAGCTGTGTGTCCCAAGAAGCCTCCCCAACTGCTCGAGTTCACTCTACCTCAAAGTCCACCTCTGTTGCAGTCAGGAAACAACCCTATTCAAACAGAGTAGGAGCTGTCTGTTTGGACTCCCCGAATAAAAATCACTTTTCTTTTTTATTAAGCTCCTCACCACCTTTCATCAAAGCCACCACCAATTCCCGCAACTTCCGCGTCCCATGCCTCCTTTCTTTCACCGGACAATCAGGACTCAAGGCTCTGGCAATACTGGACTCGGGTGCAACTTCCTGCTTCATGGACACAGACTTTGCTGCCCGACATCATGTTCCTCTTTCTCCTACCATACGGGATCTGAGGGTTGAAGGCATTGGTGGGCATTTTGTGTCTCCATCTTCTAGACTTAGGGAAATGTTGCCCGTTCGAATACACATCGGGTCCACCCTCACCAATATCGCCTTCAACATCATCAACAACAAGTCTTCCTCTGTGGTGCTTGGTCTTCCTTGGTTCCGACTACATCAACCTCAGATTTGTTGGAAGGAATTACAGCTCATCTCTCCCACATCACCATCTCCCACGGCTTCCCCTACTGTTCATTGAGTCCAAATCAGGAAAAATTCCCTAAACTCAAATCGGGGTTGTGTTCCTGACTCTATGAAGTTTTCACCCTCTTCTTTTTCCTCTCTTCCATCTTACACTGGACAGTATCCTCGTCTCATCATTCCATTTAGTCGTACACCTCCTCCTATCTCCACAATCACTATGAAAGAACTCCTTCATGAAGAACCTATTTTCCTTTTTGCTTTGCATGTTTTTCCTGTCAGTCTTCCTGAGAAGTATCATGACTTTGGGGATGTGTTTGACAAGAAAAAAGCTAGTGTACTGCTTGTTCATTGGCCTTATGAGTGTCCCATTGATTTACAGGAAGGAGCATCACCTCTGTGGGGGCCTATCTATGGGTTATCCCCGTCCAAGCTTAAGGCCCTCAAAGAGTACGTGGATGAGAACCTTGCCTCGGGGTACATTCAGCATTCACAGTCCCCAGATGGAGTGCCTATCTTCTTTGTCAAGAAGAAGGATGAGAGTTTGCGGCTAGTCATCGATTACCAAGGTTTGAACAAGGTGATTGTTCGGAACCGTTATCTGCTGCTTCTGATCTCGGACCTGTTGGAATGCCTCGGTGGTGCCCGCTTCTTCACCAAGATTGACCTCCGTGGCGCATACAACCTAATCCGGATCCGGCCTGGTGATGAATGGAAGACTGCATTCCGAACCCGCTATGGCCACTTTGAGTACACTGTCATGCCATTTGGCTTGACAAATGCTCCAGCAGTTTTCCAACACATGGCGAACGACGTCTTTCGGGAGTTTCTTGATTAGATGGTGATCGTCTACCTCGATGACATCCTCATTTACTCAAAAACTCAAGAGGAGCACGACAAACATGTACGCAAGGTGCTGGCAAAGCTGCGAGAACACGGCCTATACGCAAAGCTTGAGAAATGTTCCTTTGATCAGCAGTCTGTGGAGTTCCTTGGGTACATTGTCACTCCTGAGGGTATCACGATGGATCCTGCCAAAGTCAAGACTATTCTCGAGTGGGAGCCTCCACAATCAATGTCAGACGTTTAGGTTTTCCTTGGCTTCGCCAACTTCTACCACAAATTCATTGATCACTACTCTGATATTGTCCTTCCTCTCACGCATCTCACTCGCAAGGATGTTCCCTTCTCTTGGTCTGCTGTTGCCCAACATGCCTTCGACACACTCAAGGCAGCCTTCAGTTTTGCTCCCGTTTTGATCCATGCTGATTCTTCACAACCTTTCTTCATCGAGGTTGACACCTTCGACTTTGCCATTGGTGCTGTGCTGTCTCAACTCGGAGCGGATCAAGAACTTCATCCGGTCGCTTTCCATTCTCGGAAATTCCAGCCTGCGGAGATCAATTACGAAATCCACGACAAGGAGCTCTTTGCCATCGTGGATTCCTTTGGAGAGTGGCGCCATTTCTTGGAGGGGGCGGGCCATCAAACAATAGTCTGGATGGATCACAAAAATCTCGAGTACTTTGCCACTTCCCGAGTTTTAAGCCGTCGTCAAACAAGGTGGGCACAATTTTTGAGTTGGTTTGACTTTGTTATCAAGTACAGACCTGGAAAGCTTCAAGGCCTTCTTGATGCTCTTTCAAAGCACTCCTATCTTAGTCTCAAGCTTGGTAATCTTGCCTTCAATCAACAGGATCAAGTTATCCTCGGTCCTGATCGGCTTCAAGTTATGGCAATTTCCCTGGCCCCTCAGGACTCCTCCTTGATGGATGCAATCAGAAACGATCTTCAATCCGATGATCTCGCCAGTGACATTTTCCCCCATCTTCAGGCTGGACACCCAGTGACTCCCGATTGCCGGCGATTTGACGAGTTCGAGTTTTTAGATGGCTTATTATACCGTGGGGAGCAGCTTTACATTCCTGAAGGTGATGCTCGAAGGTTGGTTCTGATGGCGTGCCACGATAGCCCGACTATGTTATGTTTAATTATATATCTTATAATTATGATTATGTTAAAATTACAATTACGCTTACAACTCTTTGAAATTATTAAAATATCAAAAATAAAGACAATGCTCCCAGCGTAGCTGGGACTTTTGCTAGTACTCCCTTATTTAAAAGTGCTATTGGCATATAGCATCTGGCATCTTTTATTCCATTTTTAGAATATTATTTGTGAATATACTTATAATTTAAAGATTCAAATTCAAAAAATTCAAATAGATGGCATAGATCACATGCCAAAAGGGTGGTGACGCTTCAATGTGATTTCAATGATGCTCCAAAAAAAAGTGAAATTTTTTAGGGTGATCAGGCAGATTGGGGCAAACATGGGGCGAGAGGAGTATCGCTGCAAAAAGAGCATGGATGCTGCCATCCTCGAGGACCAGGCCTTCATCCAAAACGAGGCCAAGGAGAAAATGGGAGGAGTAAACAAGTGGCATTCCTGTGTCCCAGACATCGAGTCCCACGAGTGACTCTGGTTTCGGCTGGATGTGTTTGTGTAGAATCAAGAGCAGGTGATGGAGCGCCCACTGCTCAATCTCATGATGAAGTACGCCTACACCATGACTTGGCTGCGGGACTCTCCTGCCATGCTATAAGTTGGTACATGGAAGGTAAACTTTACTGGATTTCACTTCAGCCTCCATTGTTTGTTCGGAAGATCTCCAAGAATTGGCTGCAATGTCTTCAAATTCCAGTGCCCTGGATTGAGCTGGCCATTGCGTACTATTCTGCTGTCAAAAGGATCATCCTATAAAGGCGAGAACTGGCTGGTTCGTAAATTTTGTGATTTACAACTGTTTTACAGTTTTGGAGCCAATTGAAATATCCAGTGTTTTTAATGAGAGCTGATGCATCCCCAAACGGAGATTGTAAGGTGTTGCTACGTTCTGGATGGAAACTCTTCTATGGTAGCATCCAGTTCGGACTTGGTAATACTTTCCTCTCCATCTTAGAACTTGATCCAGTATTTCTAAAAAGATGCTAAACTTACCATGACGGTTGAATATCTGGCAGCTATGGCAAGAGTGTCAGCGCAGGAGACAACACCAGGACAAAAATGAAGCTCTTGGCGGACATGAGGCTTGGAAGGGACAATTTTTACACTTTACTTCCATCGGTGGGAGTTGAGTCAAGAAGAACTAATCCATCACAGTTCTGAAGAACAGCAAAGTTAGAAGACCAGAATTTAAATCTTGCAAAGCTACTCCTGTCGATGAAACAATCGTAGAAGTGCAAGCGAAGAACTCCTGCTGGTATCGTCCTGTGCCAATTGGTATGCTTGCTCAGAGTGTCTCTGATGATTCTCTTGGCTTGAGGACAGGATCTCGAGTAACTGTGGTAGCCATTCCTGTATCCTCCACTCTCATCATGAGCCAAAACACCCAAGCTCAGAGACAGCAGAAGCAAAACCAAAATGTTCCCTCTCCAACCTCCCATCCTCAGGTATTGCAGCTTGGCATGTCTTCTTCCTCCTCGAATTTTCTTGGCAGTGATTGATGATCTAAAGATGAGCATTGTTCCATGATGAAGTGGGCCACTGATACAAGGCTCTTATAGTCCAAGTTAAGTCGTCATAAATTGTGTCTGCTGCCTCTGATGAGTGTTTCCATGCTTAAGAAATCCTTTGACATCATCCAAATCCGGGGAAGCTAGCGCTCATAGTTTGACAAAGTTCAACCTCTGCACAAGAAATAGGAAAATTCAGCCAACTAAAGAAAGGTTCTGAAAGGACATATGTCTGTAGGCCGCATTTTCTATTCCATTTCCAAGCTTTCACTGTGTTCTGTTTCTTAAGATTTTTGCTTCTTCTTCTTCTTCACGATGTTCTTGCCCTTCTTTTTCTTCTTGTTTTTCTTCTTTTGGTATATGACGCTCAATGGTCAATGCTAAAAGTATAATGGGTAATGAGATATGGGTCTGACGAGCTTGCCAAGGTTCAAATCTTCATTGTCGTCCATTACTTCGTTGCTGGCTATAGGTGAATATTTATTATTTGTGCTATTATTACTTTATCTGGTGTTTGTTAGAGGACTGCCTTGGATCCCAACAGCACAGTTTCTTGCCACAACAGAGGCCATGAGTTTTCAAATCTGTAAGAGTTTCAAAAATTCTGTAATTATAAATGAAAAAAGTACTATACTAAATTGTACCTTGATCTTAGTGAATCAAAATAGCTTTTTTTCTGGCTATGGAATGGCAACTTGTTTTTGTTCTCTACCTACCCACTTTATTCCTATCGTGCAGTACTATTATAGCAGAGACCCCAGCTCTGCTGGAATATAAATTGATACCAGAGCATTGATGAGCATCCTGCAGCTCAGCCAGATTTTTTTCTTTTTCAAGGGTATTTCACCTTATGATATGTTTAACTTTGCAGGTTGAGCTTGATTCTGAAGGAGCATATATGTACAATGTGTCAAGACCCCCAACAAGATCAAGATTGGAAAATGCAAAAGACAAAGAGAAAAGCTAGTGGAAACAAAGAAGAGGCCTTAGACTGGTGTTGATTTAAATTGTGGAGAAATAGAACAAGGCTAACCTATATATACTATAGGTCGATGAAGCTCCACCACTCTCGGATTGAGGATGGCCTAAATATAGCTGAGGTCGAGGAGGTGCCACATCAATATCAAGAATGTGGCTCGAAACTCAGGAATCGTACAAGAAATCAGAGAGTCAGGAATAGGGAAGTGTCTTGAGAGTCAGGAATAGGGAAGTGTCTCGAGAATCAGGAATGTGGTCTGCAGATCAGGAATCCGGCGAGAGTTAGGAATGTGGCAAGAATTGAGGGATTCTTGACAGCACCCCCTCCTCAAGAATGAGTGGAACAAGGATGTGAATGAGAACGACGAGGAGGATGAGATGAGCGGCGAGGGATGGGAGATGGAGGAAAAGAATGAGGACTGGGATGAGAAGGATAGTGGCAGTGGAAGTCCTGAACAAGGTCAGGAGAATGAATCAGGTTGTCTACAGGTTCCCAAGTGCGTTCTTTAAGTCCGTAACCCTTCTAGTCGACTAGATAGTAGAGTTTAGACTATGAAATCTTGGAATCAAGGATGTCCTAAACCTCGTACTCAGACCCATCCTCGAGCTGCACTGGTGGAGGTGGAGGAATGACCCGATTGGGAATAGGACTGGGAATATAAGGCTCAAGGAGAGAGGAGTGAAAAACAGGGTGAATTTGATATGAGGAGGGAATTGCAAGGCGATAAGTGACAGGATTAATGATGGCAGTGATAGGGAAAGGACCGAAGCATTTGAAATCAAGTTTTGGATAGGGCCTGGTGGTGGAGATATTTCACTTGAGGAGCCAGACTTTATCCCCGATATTGTAAGGGGGACAATCCTGATGATGGACATTGGTAAATGTTTTGTGAGATTCCTGAGCACGATGGAGGTGGAAGGAGATGGAGTTGTGGATTTCCTGGAGGCTGGAGACAAATGCCTCAGAGCGGGGATTTGAACGAGAGGATTCGGATGGAGAAAGAAGTGAGAGATTGAATCAGGGATTTCGGCCAGAGTTTGCAAAGAAGGGGGAAATTCAAAGAGAGGAGTGAACAGAGTTGTTATAGGAGAACTCAGCAAGGGGAAGGATATTGAACCAGTTATCCTGATGATAGTTGATGAAGCACCTCAAGAATTGTTCCAACGTCTAAATCGTTCGCTCGGACTGCCCATCAGTTTGAGGATGATACACTGAAGAGAGGTTGGCCTTCACTCCAAGCAGCTGCAAAAACCGTTGCCAGAAATGAGAGATGAACTGAGGCCCCCGATCCGAAACCACATATGTAGGAATCCCATGAAGTCGGAAAATTTCCCTGAATACCAGTTTTGCCATGTCCTTGCCCGAAAACTCCTTGGTACATGGCAAGAAGTGTGCCATCTTTGTGAAGTGATCCACCACGACTAAAATGTTGTTGAAGCCTCCAGAACTCGGAAGATCACTCAAGAAATCCATGGAGATGGATTCCCAAGGACCTGAAGAGACCGGAAGGGAACGAAGCAAACCTGAAGGAAGGTGGTGAGGTACCTTATTCTGGGCGCAAGTGTCACAGGAGGTAACAAAAGCTTTGATGTAGTCGTCCATGTGAGGCCACCAAAAGTCCCGTGCAACTAGCTCATAGGTTTTCGCAATGCCGAAGTGACCAGCAGTTGGGCTATCGTGGCACGCCATCAGAACCAACCTTCGAGCATCACCTTCAGGAACGTAAAGCTGCTCCCCACGGTATAATAAGCCATCTAAGAACTCAAACTCATCAAATCGCCGGCAGTCGGGAGTCACAGCCTGAAGATGGGGGAAAATGTCGCTACTAGCGATATTTTCGCTATCGAGATCATTGGATTGTAGCGAGATCATTGGATTGAAGTTTTTTTCTGATTGCATCCATCAAGGAGGAGTCCTGAGGGGCCAGAGAAATTGCCATAACTTGAAGCCGATCAGGACCGAGGATAACTTGATCTTGTTGATCGAAGGCAGGATTACCAGGCCTGAGACTGAGATAGGAGCGCCTTGAAAGAGCATCAGGAAGGCCTTGAAGCTTTCCAGGTCTGTACTTGATAACAAAGTCAAACCGACTCAGGAATTGTGCCCACCTTGCTTGACGACGGCTTAAAACTCGGGAAGTGGCAAAGTACTCGAGATTTTTGTGATCCATCCAGACTGTTGTTTGATGGCCTGCCCCCTCCAAGCGGCGCCACTCTCCAAAGGAATCCACGATGGCAAAGAGCTCCTTGTTGTGGATTTCGTAATTGATCTCCGCAGGCTGGAATTTCAGAGAATGGAAAGCGACCGGATGAAGTTCTTGATTCGCTCCGAGTTGAGACAGCATAGCACCGATGGCAAAGTCAGAGGCGTCAGCCTTGATGAAGAAAGGTTGTGAGGAATTAGCATGGATCAAAACAGGAGTAGAACTGAAGGCTGCCTTGAGTGTGTCGAAGGCATGTTGGGCAGCAGCAGACCAAGAGAAGGGAACATCCTTGCGAGTGAGATGTGTGAGAGGAAGGACAATGTCAGAGTAGTGATCAATGAATTTACGGTAGAAGTTGGCGAAGCCAAGGAAAACCTGAACGTCCGACATTGATTGTGGAGGCTCCCACTCGAGAATAGTCTTGACTTTGGCAGAATCTATCGTGATACCCTCAGGAGTGACAATGTACCCAAGGAACTCCACAGACTGCTGATCAAAGGAACATTTCTCAAGCTTCGCATATAGGCCGTGTTCTCGCAGCTTCGCCAGCACCTTGCGTACATGTTCGCTGTGCTCCTCCTGAGTTTTTGAGTAGATGAGGATGTCATCGAGGTAGACGATCACCATCTGATCAAGAAACTCCCGAAAGACGTCGTTCACCATGTGTTGGAAAACTGCTGGAGCATTTGTCAAGCCAAATGGCATGACAGTGTACTCGAAGTGGCCATAGCGGGTTCAGAACGCAATCTTCCATTCATCACCAGGCCGGATCCGAATTAGGTTGTATGCGCCACGAAGGTCAATCTTGGTGAAGAAGCAGGCAAGGTCGAGGCATTCCAACAGGTCCGAGATCAGGGGCAGCGGATAACAGTTCCAAACAGTCACCTTGTTCAAACCTTGGTAATCGATGACTAGCCGCAAACTCCCATCCTTCTTCTTGACAAAGAAGACAGGTGCTTTAACCGGGGACTGCGAATGCTGAATGTACCCCGAGGCAAGGTTCTCATCCACATACTCTTTGAGGGCCTTAAGCTCGGACGGGGATAACCCGTAGATAGGCCCCCACGGAGGTGACGCTCCTTCCTGTAAATCAATGGGACAGTCATAAGGCCAATGAACAGGCATTACACTAGCTTTTTTCTTGTCAAACACATCCCCAAAATCATGATACTTCTCAGGAAGACTGATAGGAAAAACATGCAAAGCAAAAAGGAAAACAGGTTCTTCATGAAGGAGTTCTTTCATAGTGATTGTGGAGATAGGAGGAGGTGTACGACTAAATGGAATGATAAGACGAGGATACTGTCCAGTGTAAGATAGAAGAGAGGAAAAAGAAGAGGGTGAAAACTTCATAGAGTCAGGAACAAAACCCCGATTTGAGTTTAGGGAACTTTTCCTGATTCGGACTCAATGAACAGTAGGGGAAGCCGTGGGAGATGGTGATGTGGGAGAGATGAGCTGTAATTCCTTCCAACAAATCTGAGGTTGATGTAGTCGGAACCAAGGAAGACCAAGCACCACAGAGGAAGACTTGTTGTTGATGATGTTGAAGGCGATATTGGTGAGGGTGGACCCGATGTGTATTCGAACGGGCAACATTTCCCTAAGTCTAGAAGATGGAGACACAAAATGCTCACCAATGCCTTCAACCCTCAGATCCCGTATGGTAGGAGAAAGAGGAACATGATGTCGGGAAGCAAAGTCCGTGTCCATGAAGTAGGAAGTTGCACCCGAGTCCAGTAGCGCCAGAGCCTTGAGTCCTGATTGTCCGGTGAAAGAAAGGAGGCATGGGACGCGGAAGTTGCGGGAATTGGTGGTGGCTTTGATGAAAGGTGGTGAGGAGCTTGATAAAAAAGAAAAGTGATTTTTATTCGGGGAGTCCAAACAGACAGCTCCTACTTTGTTTGGACAGGGTCGTTTCCCGACTGCAACAGAGGTGGACTTTGAGGCAGAGTGAACTCGAGCAGTCGGGGAGGCTTCTTGGGACACACAGTTGCTTTGTGATTAGGATCAGCATAGTAGAGGCAAAGATTATGAGATATTCGACATTGCTTCTCAGCAGGACTCAACTTCCCTCTAATGAGTCGGGGAGTACCAGAAATATCCATTGGGACCGAAGCAGTAGGCTCAGGACTATGCCCCGA